AGCTTTTGCTTGTCTGTAAAGCTTTTGATTTCTCCATCAAATCTGAATGAGATCCTTGCCGCATAGAGTAATCTTGGTTGTAGGTTCTTCCCTTTCATCACTTTAAGTATATCATGCCACTCCCTTCTAGCTTGTAGAGTTTCTGCTGAGAAATCAGCTGTTAACCTTATGGGAGTTCCCTTGTATATTATTTGTCGTTTTTCCCTTGCTGCTTTCAATAATTTTTCTTTGTCTTTAATTTTTGCCAATTTTTTTTTTTTTTTTTTTTAATTTTTGCCAATTTGATTACTATGTGTCTCGGAGTGTTTCGCCTTGGGTTTATCCTGTATGGGACTCTCTGTGCTTCCTGGACTTGGGTGGCTATTTCCTTTCCCATGTTAGGGAAGTTTTCGACTATAATCTCTTCAAATGTTTCCTCGGGTCCTTTCTCTCTCTCGTCTCCTTCTGGGCCCCGTATAATGCGAATATTGTTGCATTTAGTGTTGTCTCAGAGGTCTCTTAGGCTGTTTTCAGTTCTTTTCATTCTTTTTTCTTTATTCTGTTCAGCAGCAGTGAATTCCAACATTCTGTCTTCCAGATCACTTATCCGTTCTTCTGCCTCAGTTATTCTGCTGTTGATTCCTTCTAGTGTAGTTTTCTTTTCAGTTATTGTATTGTTCATCCCTGTTTGTTTGTTCTTTAATTCTCCTAGGTCTTTGTTAAACATTTCTTGCATCTTCTCGATCTTTGCCTCCATTCTTTTTCTGAGGTCCTGGATCATCTTCACTATCATTATTCTGAATTCTTTTTCTGGAAAGTTGCCTATCTCCACTTCATTTAGTTGTTTTTCTAGGGTTTTATCTTGCTCCTTCATCTGGTATATAGCCCTCTGCGTTTTCATCTTGTCTATCTTTCTGTGAATGTGGTTTTTTGTTCCACAGCCTGCAGGATTGTCTTTATTTTATTTATTTATTTATTTTTGGCTGTGTTGGGTCTTCGTTGCTGCACGTGGGCTTTCTCTAGTTGCGGTGAGTGGGGGCTACTCTTCATTTGCGGTGTGTGGTCTTCTCATTGTGGTGGCTTCTCTTGTTGCAGAGCACAGGCCCTAGGCACACGGACTTCAGTTGTTGTGGCTCATGGGCTCTCGAGTGCAGGCTCAATAGTTGTGGTGCACGGGCTTAGTTGCTCCGAGGCATGTGGGATCTTCCTGGACTAGAGATCAAACCCACGTCCCCTGCATTGGCAGGCAGATTCTTATCCACTGCACCATCAGGGAAGCCCCAAATAACATGCTTTTAATGAAAAACAACTATGTATTCCTCCCTCACCAAAAAAGTTTAGTGAAAAGAATGGTATATTCTTTTGGTTGAAGTATATGAAGAAAATTCACCCTCACGCATATATGAGAGGAAACAGAAATGTGTTAATAACATTTGCAGATATCTGCAGATACTCTTCTTTGATAGTACTACATCAAAACTTGAGAACTAGATTGTTGTAGGTTGGTTGTAGGTTGGTTGTTGCAACATGGAATCTGAAGCCATATCAGTGAACATTTCTTACTGTAACATTAAATTCACCAGTCTGTTTTGCACACTGAATACGGTAACACCATTCATTGGTCATTTGGGAAATATTGAATCACTGAATTATGCAAATATTCCCCATATTGCTACATTTCATCATATAATATTAAGAAAATCACATTTGTGGCTGAAAGACTGAAACATAAGACATGGCACCGTAAAACTCCTTGAAGAGATCACAGGCAAAACATTCTCTGACATTAATCATACCAATATTTTCTTAGGTCAGTCTCCCAAAGCAATAAAGATAAAAACAAAAATAAACAAATGGGACCTAATCCACCTTACAGACTTTTGCACAGCAAGGGAAACCATAAACAAAATGAAAAGACAACCTACAGAATGGCAGAAAATATTTGCAAACAGTTCAACAGAAAAGGGCTTAATTTCCAATATATACAAACAGCTCATACAACTCAACAACAACAAAAAACAAACAATCAGAAAATGGGGAGAAGACTTAAATAGACATTTCTCCAAAGAAGAAATACAGATGGCCAATACGCACATGAAAACATGCTCAGCATTGCTAATTATTAAAGAATTGCAAATCAAAACTGCAATGAAGTACCACTTTACACTGGTCAGAATGGCCATCATTAAAAAGTCTACAGGTAACAAATTCTGAAGAGGTTGTGGAGAAAATGGAACCCTCCTACACTGTTGGTGGGAATGTAAATTGATTCAGCCACTATGGAGAACAGTATGGGGAGGTTCCTCAGAAAACTAAAAATCGAATTACCATATGATCCTGCAACCCCATTCCTGGGCATATATCCAGACAAAACTATAATTCAAAAAGATACATGCAGGGGGAGGGATAAATTGGGAGATTGGGATTGACATATACACACTACTATATATAAAATAGACAACTAATAAGGACCTCCTGGGAACAGGGGACTCTACTCAATACTCTGTAATGACCTATATGGGAAAAGAATGTAAAAAAAAAAAGATGTATGTATATGTGTAACTGATTCACTTTGCTGTACAGCAGAAACTAACACAACATTGTAAATCAACTATACTCCAATAAAAATTAAAAGAAAAAAGATACATGCACCCTTGTGTTCATAGCAGCACTGTTCACAATGGGTAAGACATGGCAGCAACCTAAATGTCCATCAGCAGATGAATGGATAAAAATATGTGGCATATATACATATATATATATATATATATATATGTATGTATGTATGTATGGAATGGAATTCTACTCAGTCATAAAAAAGAATGGAGTAATGCCATTTGCAGCAACATGGATGCAACTAGAGATTATCATACTAAGTGAAGTAAGTCAGAAAGAGAAAGATAAATACCATATGGTATCATTTATATGTGGAATCTAAAATGTAACACAAATGAACCTATCTATGAAACAGAAACAGACTCACAGACATAGAGAACAGACTTGTGGTTGCCAAAGGGGAGGGGGTTGCAGGAGGGATGGAGTTAGGAGGTCGGGGTTAGCAGATGTAAGCCACTGTATATAGAGTAGATACATAACAAGGTCCTACTGTATAGCACAGGGAACTGTATTCAATATCCTATGATAGGGACTTCCCTGGTGGCACAGTGGTTAAGAATCCACCTGCCAATGCAGGGGACACGGGTTCGAGCCCTGGTCCGGGAAGATCCCACATGCCACGGAGCAACTAAGCCCGTGCACCACAACTACTAAGCCTGTGCTCTAGAGCCTGAGAGCCACAACTACTGAAGCCCGCGCGCCTAGACAAAGAGTAGCCCCACTTGCCGCCACTACAGAAAGCCTGCGCACAGCAAGGAAGACCCAACGCAGCCAAATAAATAAATAAAATTAATTAATTTTTTAAAAATCCTATGATAAACCATAATGGAAAAAATGTTAAAAAAAGAATATATATGTATAACTGAATCACTTTGCTGTACAACAGGAATGAACACAACATTGTAAATCAACCATACTTCACTAAAAAGTAAATCACATTTGTTAACATAGGAACGTCCTTAAGTACTTTGAAGTGGTCAAGCTCATGGTGGTAGATACCAGTTTTCCCTTGAAAGCTTGAGTTTTATTGTTGGCAGAAATCCTGTCAGCTCTTTAACTTGAAGGGACAGATTTACTTCATCCATCTTTGAGCAAATGTCTGCTAAATCTCAAGTCTGAATAATTTGTCATTAGTCATTTTTTCACATAAAAACGCTGTTCCATGAAAAATCTAGTTGACACAATTTAATCACCTAAGGCTTTTCCGTGAGACAACCCTTGTACTTCAGTATGCAGCAGAAGTGCTTTGGGCACACTTCATTTCGTCACCCAGACTCTTGAAAAGATGTGTACCTGAGGATTAGGATTCAGTAAACTTTTTACTGCTTGATCAAGGACATGCTTAAGTGAAACTGGCCTTGTTTTCCTGTGAGCATGTGGCTGTGAAGAGTATTACGACTACTAGTATTATTTGGCACCACTGCTGTGATTTGTGCTAAGACATCAGCAATTTTACCCACCAGTGTAAATGTCAGTACAGCAAAAGAGGCAAATAATAATGTCCTAGTACTGTTATGAAAGTAGTTTTTATCTTCCAGACCCCTGAAAGGGGCTGGAAGGACTGCCCCCAGGAATCCACAAACCACACATTGAGAACCACTGAGACTGCTTAGGTTGGCTTCTGGCTCTGCCACTTAGAGGCTAGGTGACCTTGGATAAGTTATTTCATTCACCTTTCTGTGTTTCACTTTCCTTCTCTGTAACATGGGGATAATCATAATTACTTAATAGTGTTATTGCAAAAATTAACTAAGTGAATATATGTAAAATTCTTGCAACACTGCCTGTTACATAGTAAGTACTCAAGAAATGTTAGCTGTTGACTACCATCAACTCTGCTTGGGTGCTTTTACTACAGTTGTGTCCACTAAGAGAAAAGGAAATTTAACTGCTTCCCTCGTCTTGCTCATCCTATAAAGTCAAACAGGTCATAGTTGCTGGGGTATCATGCGTTTTTTGTTCTTAGGTCAAGTTCAGGAGGAACGTGGCAAAAAATTTAAATTATCATTACCTTGTGTGCAGCAGGAGCTAAACTCACATATGCCTTAACATACCCAGAGCACATCTGTTTTATGTGGTAGACACTGATTCTAACCACATTGATACATGAAATGTATTTGTGTTTATGTTTAATATTCAGGAAAGATTCAGAATATGAGCTATTCCTGTTGAGTCAGTGGATGCCAGCATCAGCTACTTGTATATAATGTATTCTGTCAGAACCAGATCTCCCCATAAGTGTTGGATTCTTAATTTATTTGATTAATGTAGGTTAATCATTATTTTGCTCTTACTTGAAAGAAACAAGGACCCTGGGAATTAGAAATCTCTAGTTCCTAATAGCCTTTGTACTTTTACATCTAGATTGTTGGAAAATGATAAAACAGTATATCTTTTCCTTACAGGATTTTGGGAGTGCTAGCAAATCTGGAACATCAAACAAGAAACCTGGTATGTATAATAATGAAGCTGAAAAACTACTAAAGTGTTTAGTAGTCTTGAATTCAGTTTCTTATTTTTCTTCTTTTCAGAGATTGCTCAAGTAACTTCAGCATATGTGGCTTCTGGTTCTGAACAGCTTAGCCTTGCACCAGGACAGTTAATATTAATTCTAAAGAAAAATACAAGTGGCTGGTGGCAAGGGGAGTTACAGGTAATAACCTTTAAATAACGTTTATTAATTTTATTATAAAAGTAATGCATGCTCATTAGAAAAATGAGGTTAATAAAAATTTTAGATCACCTATAATCATACCACTTGGAGGTAGTCATTATTACCATTTTAATATCTTATGTTTCTCTCTTTTGCCTGTTTATTTTTAGCACAGTTGATGTTACAAGTAACAATATGAAGGGTAATTTCCCTAAAGACATAATTGTTTTCCAATAATAGCTGTTTTAATAAACCACAGGACACCTTCTTAAAGGAAAGCTTAACATCATCTTTGCCTGGGATAACCCCAGGCTTGCGGCATAACTTCCAGACTGAGCGCTAAGAAAATACTATTCACTGGACAGTCCCCCCCACCCCCACAGTCTTACGTTTTTGAAACAGCAGTGCAAGGAAAGGAGCTGCAGGAGTGAATGAGCCTGGTTTTTTCATAAAATGTTAACGGAGATAGTAATTGCATGTTTTGATACAGAAAGAGGAGTTCTTTTTTCACTCCTAAAATTTCCTTACTAGTTAAAACTAAAAAGCATTTTAGGATTAAAAGATGATGACAGGTGTAAGAGCTGGATTTTTACGTGAAATTGATACATGATTGTAATATGGAGGATTAATTTAGCGTCATTCTTGCAAATCAAGGTCTTACAGTTTCTAAAGAAAAGTGGAGGTTGAAAATTCAGTATCTTCTTGACTAACCCCCTGAAATTTCACCTTCTGATTTGCTTTGAAGATTGACCCAACTAAGTGGGAGATGTGGCTTTCCACAAATTTTGGATTAATTATTAGCAAAGCCCCAAGAGGTATTTACTGTGAGCTATGTCATTAAGTGTTGACTTGAACTTACTAGGAGAACATTAGAAAGGTTTTTTTAGTTTATAAATATTATTTGTGTGAAATATGCAGAGAAATTTGAGCCTGAAAGATCTCCAAATAGACTTCTACAAATAGTGTTGAGATGCATATTGAATCTTCCAGCTGTTTAATACTGACGTGCAAGGCCAGTGCAGAATTCAGGTGTTCACAAGACACCCTCACTTCTAACATCAGTCATAAGTTTGGAGGTCCCCAAGACCACTCCCGAGTTCAGTAATTCTCCATAAGGGCTCACAGAAGGCTATTATACTCATGGTTATGGATTATTACAGCAAAAGGATTTAGATTAAAATCAGCCAAGGGAAGAGATGTAGGGGGCAGAGTTCAGGCGGATTCCAAACACAGAGCTTGCAGTTGTCCTCTGCCCATGGAGTCGTGGACATCATTAAATCCTCCTGGCAACAATAGCCATGGAGTATTGCCAAGCAAAGCAGCTCACTTGAGCCTTGGTTTCCAGAGTGTTTACTGGGGCTCCATCACGTAGACACAGTTGACTGCCCACATGACTGAACTCAGTCCCCAGTCCCTCCAGAGGTTGAGTTCATACTATGACCTGGAGGGCCCACCATAAATCACATGGTTAGGCTATCTGGCTTGGTTAAGGCCCCCACGTAAAGTGAGACACTCTTAACAGTCAAGACCTTCCAGAGGTTTAGAGATTACCTCATTACCTTCCAGGAGCCAAAGGCAAAGACCAGACCTCTCTTTGGGCAAGTTTAAATTCTTTACTACACAGCCAGGGTTTTTCTTATTTTTAGTTTATGTCTCAATAATTGTCTTTAGTCTCATCTTTTATATTCTTTTTGCTAATTTTATAGGCCAGAGGAAAAAAGCGACAGAAGGGATGGTTCCCTGCCAGCCATGTTAAACTTTTGGGTCCAAGCAGTGAAAGAACTACACCTGCCTTTCATCCTGGTATGGAAATGGGTTTACTTTTATTTCATCTTAGAGAAGTTTTGTTACAACTTAGCACTTCTTAGATTAGCTGATTCTTTGAAAAATATTTTAAAATTTGTTCTTTCCTTACCTCTGCCTAAAAGTAATATTGCAATGAGAACTTCCTTTCTAAAAAGTTCTGTGTAGAAACAGCCAGCTGTTCGGTGATACTTGAACTACCTCACTCATTGACATATTTTAATTGCTATACCATCATACTTTAAAGCAAACCAGCTGCTTGGATTTCTAACTGCATTTGGGAAATTCTTGTTTTTGTAAAACAGGGAATGGGGGAAGGAGGGTGGGAGAAAACAGCTAAAGGGAAATTTTAGCTGAATTTTAACATATGATCCTTGTAGGAATAATTATTTTGTTTAATTTGTTACTTCGTTGTTCTTTTTCTGGTAGTGTGTCAGGTGATCGCCATGTATGACTATATAGCAAATAATGAGGATGAGCTAAATTTCTCCAAGGGGCAACTTATTAATGTTTTGAACAAAGATGATCCTGACTGGTGGCAAGGAGAAATCAATGGGGTGACTGGTCTCTTTCCTTCAAATTATGTTAAGATGACAACAGACACGGATCCAAGTCAGCAGTGTGAGTAATATCAAATTATTTACTTCTTAACTAGTGCATAAGCTTTAATGTGCAACATGGCATTCATTACTGCTCTGAATCAGATCTTAAACTTAGCACTCTTAGCAAATGTTATATTAACGTTTAAAGTAAGAAAATATAACAGGAAGCTTTCACAAGTTAAGAAGTTATACTGCTTTTTTTCAAATACTTTCTTCCTAGCTTCAGACCCTACTATTAGATTTTATCTGAAAAAAGTTCTAATTCCCTCGTGGGTTCTTTGGTATGATAACAGTCTATACTGCAACTTCCCTTTACACCAGCCTTTTTCAGCTTAACAAAGAGTAGCTGGCAATTACCCTATTCACCTATTCAAAATGACCCTTTTAGTGTACAGGTGCTATTAATTTTGCAACCTTCTCATTTATTTCCCACCTTTTTACATATCATCCAGCTTAGAAAATTTAAAAGAAAATTATAAAATTTATTTTATAAATAAAGTGCTTGCAAAACTCATTAGGTGATTTTTTTAGGTAGATAACTCATACTGCAAGAGATATATGAATTAAGATCTATTTCACTACTTTTACAGCAAGCGTCCAGATCTCAATGTATGAGATTCGGTATTACATAAAATTATCTCTTGGTAGTTACCTAGCCCTTCTTATATTTGAGAATAAACATAGCATTAATAATTAGAGAATAAACAGTACTTGGAAATATTTTTTACTTTTATAAAATAGATGTCACTTTTCCCCACCCTTTTGATTTTTTTGTCTTCTTAAATAAAATATATCATGATTTATATTTTTATCATTCTTGTGAAATTATCTAAAAGCTTTAGCCTTTCGTTTTAACTTAGCTTCTTAGAACATGTAAATGGTAAAAAGCTGAGATGTGTTTATGATTCAGCGCAAGTATTGTGAATTTACTTTGTACTATATCTATAATTTTAAAATATTAGTGCATTATTTTCGCTTCAGAGCTTATAAGATCGTTCTGATTTTGGGAGAAGACTGAATTTCCCAATTTGGAGGTGGAGTCCAGTTTTTTATGGTTTGAATATTCCTAAAAGTATCTCAGGGTTTCAGGAGAGGTAGTAAAGAAAATTATAACAACTTGGATTACCTAAATGAATGACCATTTTTAAACTCTGCTGATGGTTTGGCAGTTTTCAGTGCTTGCCAGTTTATCTGATTAATTAGAAATACCTGAGGTGTCTTTCCTGGACCTGAGAGAGGAAGGTACTTTTCAAACCTACTGGGTCTGGAAGATCTTTGACTAAGTGATCCCTGGAGGCATTCTGGTTTGTCAGTACATTTGGCTTTTATAGTGTCTACAATGTAAAGTGATAGTTTTCCAAAGGTTTTGTTGTTGTTTATCTTGTTTTTCAGTGGCGGAACTTTTTTCCAATTAAGTCGTATATAATAAGGAATACAAAGAACAGATAGAAGCTGTTCTAAAGGAAGAACAGCCAGGAGTGTATGAGTCAGTGAAAACTGGTTAAGTTTTAGACTATCATTTGTGTTTCTGTAGCCCTTATAAATATCACTTGCATTTTATTATGTAGTTAGGATATTTTCTAAAGGTTGAGAATTTTAATAGTTCAAATTTGTTGATGTTGCGTGTAATCGGTAGAATTTTTTCTCACCCACTTGATTTGCTTTATGTTCATTTTATTCCTCATTTTTCTTTTTATAGGACCCAATGTTGTCTTCCAGTGTGAAAGCACCCCAGAGACCCACTATCCAAGTTTGACTCTAGCGTGGAGTCAGGGCAGGCAGCCCTGATCAAATATCTCCTACACAATTCGTTAACTTCGTTCGAATGTTAGAGCCACTTGTGATTATTTCTTCGTGTTTCTAATTTACAGTTAAAATTTACTTGTAACAAGTTAAAGGATAGTGGGTCTTTGTGTGGCTTTCCCTGCTGTTCACTCTGGCATCCTTGAGCATTTTTCTTCTTTTTTAATTTGGTAATTGTAGGTCATTAGCATGCATGTTGAGTTTGCCCTTACATGGTGGGAGTTCAAACACACAAAGACCCACTATTTGCACAGACTTTTCTCGCTGGTTTGGAATGGGCTGCCATGCTTTTCTAATGTTATTGCAACATGTATATTCATTACAGAATTCAGAATTGCTTATGTTTTGCTATTATATTTGATCTAATCCTAATCACAGTGAGCTCTTAATTGGTTCAATATGTGATTTGTCCCTTAATGTGCACTGTTTATTACTTTCTAATATGCCACTATGAGTACCAATATTTAAATTTGTTTAAAGGCCAAGAAGTGGAAATATCCTTTTCTCTATTTTCTGTGTATTTTGGGGTGGGAGCAATAACACTTTGAGGGAGCTTTTATTATCTCACAGAAGAGGAAAGTGGCCTGCCCCAGCCATATGTGCAGAGCAGGGTATGTTTTATCTGTTCCGGCTGCCCAAGAATGAGTCCTGTGCATGGGAGTTCCCTTGGGATCTCTGTGGTCTGGGCTCATGAAGAAGCTTCATGTGCTGCAGCGGTCAGTTGTTACTTCTTTACTAATGAGCTAAAAATGGATTATTTTTGAGGAATGAAAGGCTCCCTTCATTGACCATGAGATATGAAACCTTCCCTTCCTTAGAGCATTTATATCTGTACATTTTGAAGTCAGAATTCATGTTATCTATTTTAATTAGGTGACTGCTTGTCCCAGGTCACAAAGGGACACTGGTTGACACTCTTCTTAATGTATTTAGTAAAGAACATAAGGAATCCTTGAAGAATTTAAATGCCCATGAAGCAGGCAGACAGTCTCTGTCTAGTTGAGAATGAATTCAGTGAAGGAAACGTGTGAGAGCTGGCATTCCTCTATGTCCATGAAGCTGCTTTGTGGCTAGAGGGTTGATTTTACCATTCAGAATTCTCTGGCTACTATCTATTATTCAACCACATTGGCTACTTTGGCATAGGATTTTACTTCTTTTCCTTGAATGGAAAACTTTAAAGATAATAAACATTATTATAAACTAATAAACGTGAGAGTACTTAGCTGAAACAAAAGGGAGTTTTAGTGGACAGTATTAAACTATATTTGAAAATCAATGAGAAGTTTATGCAATTTAAAATGTTTACAAACTGCAGTGCAATCTACTGTTTATGAATGTCCAAGTATTATCAGGAAAAGTGTACATACAATCACAGAGTCTTATTTCCTCACACAGTTCTTTAAGAAGAGTGAAATATGTTTTTATATACCTGAGTTTTAAGTTAGAGGCATATTTTGTGCAATATTTGTGTAAATGAGCCTATTCATTATAAATGAATGATTTTAGTCATACATTGCCTAAATCATAACTTCGCAACACTTGAGAAAGAATCAACAGTTTAGTTAGAATGTCACAAGGTTCAAATGTCTGTGTTCCAAAATACTTCACATCATTGGGATGTATGGTGATATGTGTGTGTGCTCCCTGAGGCAGGGATTTCTAGCTATTAGACCACCTCAACTTTTAGCATTTGGCATCATCATGATACTTTGTTTTTTGGGGTTTTTTTGCGGTACGCGGGCCTCTCACTGTTGTGGCCTCTCCCGTTGCGGAGCACAGGCTCCGGACGCACAGGCTCAGCAGCCATGGCTCACAGGCCCAGCCGCCCCGCGGCATGTGGGATCTTCCCGGACCAGGGCACGAACCCGTGTCCCCTGAATCGGCAGGCAGACTCTCAACCACTGCGCCACCAGGGAAGCCCTACCATGATACTTTTATAAAACATGACATATAGGAAAGCAATAATACCATTTTACAGGTGGCATAACAGATTTGCCTGCAGTCACTGAAGGGTAGAGACTGAGTCCTTGTGAATTCAACTGATCTTCTAAATTGTACAGTTTACTTGGTCTTGCCTTTTATTTTCTGAACTTTTTGCTTTTGCAACCGTTATTTGGGTTCAAATTAAGGGCAGTTACTTTAAATCCATTTTAAACCCTGAGGTTAGAAATTAGACCACTTAATTAGTCACATGATTTGGTGTAACATTTTCTCCTTATAATTTTGAATTTGGGTTTATTTAATACACTGATAAATTATTTCAAAAGTATTTTTGTAGCTCAAATTGCTTCACTTTTACACTGATAAATATAGTTTATTAAGAATGACATTCAGTAGAGCTTAGTGTCTGTAAATCAGTTTGCAAGTAATATATTCATCAGGTACCTATGGACTAAATCACATAATGGCATATTTAAGCTAAGTGTCTGGGAAATAAATTTACTGTATTTACAAAAATACCCCTCTTTGTTTAGGTATTTTGTCATATATTTGAGAAGAAACTAAAAGTAAAGGAAATGGTATGACATATAATAATAACTTGTCCTTAAAAGAGCATGCAGTCCTTTGCAATACCTCGTATTCAGCCACGTATTTGTTCTCATTCAGTATAAGAGGCAGCTTTCCATTTACTTAGAAAGCAACATAGAAAGCAACATTGGAAGGAGTTTATCAGGAACATAAAATTTTAGAATGAACAAATCTGAACCCTGTAGGAGGTAAAGAATGAAAATTTATTTAAAAATTGCAATATGTGCTGATCATTTTTAAGGTATATGATTAAACCTGATAGGTTTTTCAGCAATGAAAAAATCAGTTCTAAGACCAAAGCTGATTTTTTTAGAACACTTGAAAATCTAAATCCACCCTACCTGTTGTATAGTTTCCTCTAAAACTTTATCCTAAGGAATCATTTTAAAATAATACAACTATTAAAACAATGTAACTGCTATTTTAGTGTTTTAAAATATAATATGAATACTGATAGTTTAAAATAAAGGAACTGGGGGGAGGAAAAGTAGAGAAAGAAATGCCAATTTCAGTCCAAAGCTTTATTTGCCAAATTTTCTTAGGATGAATTTTACCAGGTTATAAATTCTTGTAAATAGAATCTATAATGGAAATACTGAGAGACTTTTGCGTGAAGTGGCATTATTGGATGCTGCTGTGATGCTACTGTAATGTAATAAATTATTAAATTGTTGCAAAGTGCTG